AATGCAACACATTCTCCATCAGTCTAAAGAACATTTTCACCAGTTAAGCATCCAAGTGGTTCTCTACAAGACTCGTGGTTCTAACTAGAACCCATGAAGAACCAGTTTTTAAGAGTCTAGGTTTTCATTAATTTCCTTCAAATGATCAGAGGCTACAAGGAATGTGAAATCAAAATTATAACATATGAAAAACTGCAGTAAGTTGTTTATCTGATGAGGAAAACAAGCAAATAAACAAAACAAAAGAAACAAAAACAAAACAAAACACAAAAACAGGGCGAGCCGGTTAAACAAATAAACAAACAAACAAACGAAACCATCTTGAAACGCTGGGTTGGAGAGCCTGGTATAAATAATGACCATACACTGCAAACCATAAAGAGAGAGAAGGCAGAATAGAGAAGCGTCAATATGATCGCGCGCTGTTTGGAGGATTAAAACTGTAAATATGATTTAGGGAGGAAAAAAAAACTCCTGAAAAGAAAGAAAGACGATCTAAAATCGACCCTGAACTGAACAATAAACACACATTTCTCCGCAGCCCGATGATGAAGCTCCAGCAGAGAGAGATTCCATTTCCCCGCGAGCTGTAATTAAAGACGAGAAGAGAGACACGTGCAGAGAAAACGGCGCGCGAGCCTCATTTACCTGCAGACACGCACGAGAGGCTTTACACTGGAGTCTGGAGATAAAATCTTCATTTACTGCACATTTAGCACAAAGAGCCTTCAACTATTATTATTATTATTATTATTATTATTATTATTATTATTATTATTTACCTCACAGGTACAGGAGACCGTTAGAACGAGCACAAAATACCGTTATGATCATAATCAGAAGAAGACATTTATGACAAATTTAAAATTTTGTTAAACGCTATGAATCAGATTCGCTACAAAAATCATACACGACGTATTCTGTTCAAAATAAATATAATATTTTCAAAAAAGTGAATGAATATATGTGTGATTGTAAATATATACAGCACTGTGCAAAACTCAGAGACCTTCGTTTATTTAATTTCCAGTCAAAACAGAATTATTTGACAGAAAATTACACAAAAAAATCGTATTATATAAATTTAATATCACATTTTTCAGTATTTATTGTGTCGCTCTTTACCTTCATCACAGCTTCCACTCTTTTCAGGAGACTCACTTTCAGTTTCTCAAAGGATCTGCAGACACACCTCCAAAGTTCAGTCTTAGAAGCTGGTTGATCATTTTCTGAAGTAATCAAACACATTCAGTGGTGTTGAGGTTTGGACTCTGGGGTGGTCAGTCCATTGTTCAGCTTCTTTGTTTGATGTGTCCGTCTCCTTTTCTCAGTGAGGTTCTTCTTGACAGCTACACATCCTTTCAGACCCACAGCGCTGAGTCGTCTTCTCACAGTGATGGACAGAAACACCTGTGGATGTTTTCAGATCTGAAGCAGCTTGATTTTCTCCTCTCTCTCAGAGATGAAAGCTTTAAGTGCTGTTTATCTGATGGGGGCAGTTTTGGGGTCTACCAGGTCTTCCAGGTGGTTGTTAGGAGCCCCAAGTTTTTGAAATTTTAAAAACTCCTTTAACTTTCTCCTTCCTGCAGGTGGATTATCTCATATCTGATCTCCTGAAAAAGGAATAATTTGTGCTTGAAGGCTGTTCTGACTGGATATTAAAGAAACGAACGTTGCTGTCCTTTATACAGCACTGTAGGCTGCAGTTACAGAGTTTTCAGTCAGGTACTTTCTTCTTTTTCATTAATGTGTTTTTCTGTCCGATATAGTCTCCATCTGCTCGCTGCGCTTCCACTGTTCACTCTGAGTTTAACAGCTCCTCATTCACGCATTCAGACTCTACCAGCAGAAAAAAATTAGATGTGAGTCTTTAAACAGAAATAATATACTTTAATCCATCTGCTCATTTCCATACTGCTGTAATCCTCTCTCTCTCTCTCTCTCTCTCTCTCTCTCTCTCTCTCTCTCTCTCGCACTCCTCTCTCTCTCTCTCTCTCTCTCTCTGTGAAGTGGGCTGCTTGGATTTGAAGGCAGAACAAAACAGATTACATTATATTATAATCTATCTATCTATATATATATCTATATATATATCTATATATATATATATATATATATATATATATATATACATAGTTTACATACAGTTACTGCTGTTGTAATAAGTAGTTGATTATGATATGTGATTATTATTACCATAATTACTATGATATATTATTATTGCTGTTGTTGCTGGACAATTTATGTTAATGCTGTCATTGTTATTGTTGTTGTTATTGTTAATAATATAATAATAATAATAATAATAATAATAATAATAATAATATGGTAATAATAATAATAATAGGCTAGTATGAGTTGTTTCTGGCTATTATTATTAAGGAATTATGTTTTTTAAGTATTATTATATTGTTAATAATTGTTAATTAATGTATTATTAATGTTGTTACTGTTAATAATAATCATAATAATAATAATAATAATAATAATAATAGTAATAGGCTTGTGTGAGTCGTTCCTGGCTATTATCATTAAGGAATTATAAAAAATATTATTATTATTATTAGTATTAGTATTAGTAGTATTAGTATTATTATACTGGTACATTGTCATTGATTTGCTCTGTTGTTGTCGTGTAATGTGTTTTTTGAATCACTGTGTTGAATAAACAGCCTGTAAGATTCTCTCTCTAAGGTGAAGATCTCTGATCACACTGAGCATCAGATTAATCATCCTCTACAGAGTCATTAATCAACTGTCTGGCTCAATTAATATTCCAACACCAACACATTTCATATAACCAAATAAAGTCATTCCTCGGTTTTATCCTGCAGGTGGAGGCAGCCTGAAGACAGAGGAACTGAATGTGACCATCAGCGCTGAACAGATCTCCCCTCAGTTTAAATGAGTGATCACAGGCTCTTTAGGATTAATTAAGCTTTTTAACTAACATAATCAGATTTAAACCATTTAGCCTGTCTGGAAAATTTCTCCACCAATATACAGTATTACTCCTTTATTATTAACGGGGTTAACATTGCTGTAAAGGTAATGCCACAGCATTACAGTACTATTACGTTTATTCTAGGAAATTAATTTGTATTGAAATGAACTAAAAGAGAAGCACTTTAGCTGGAGGCAGTTAACAGAGTTATAAACTGTATCTGTTCGAAAGGTGAGAGAGTGAAAAAGAAGGCTCTTACACCACAAATAAGGACAGTACCATTTCTTTTCTGTGTGCTTTTTTCATTTTATTGAAATTTCATCCAGGATCACTGGGCAATAATAATAAATATTTCATTTATAATCAAGAATGTACAAAAATAAAGAAAGCGGTAGTCTCTGGCAAAACAAGACTGTTTTGTTCTTTTTTTTGTTTGTTTGCTTGTTTGTTTTGTTTTTCTTTTTGTTGGTGTTTTCATTTTTTTCATAAAACAATCATGCTTGGGTAGAAATCTCTGTTTTCCCCCAGACATCATGCTCAACACTGAACACCGTCGCCACATGGAGCTCCACTGCTTCCACACTTGGACTGAAATCCATTCAATGAGATCGTCTTTTATATAACGCTGTTTTTCAAACTAAGTACATGGTCCACATCTTTACTCTGTCATTTCATGAGACTCGACAATCCTTGTTACAAGGAACGCACAGCTTTTCTCCATCTGACTCCCTTTGGGAAGGATGCAGGTGCAACAACGACAATAACAACAACAACAACAACAACAACAAAAATCTCAGTTTCACCATCAGCGCGTCCAGCCTGCTGTACACACTCCAAACACACAAACACGGCAAAATGCACAGTGCTGGATTAACACCTACAGTGTCAGATTAACACCTACAATGTCAGATTAACATCTACAGTGTCAGATTAACACCTACGATGTGAGATTAACACATACAGTGTTAACAACTACAGTGTTATATTAATACCTGCAGTGTCAGATCAATAGTTATATTAACACCTGCAGTGTCAGATTAACACAGTGTTATAGTAACACCTGCAGTGTCAGATTAACACAGTGTTATATTAACACGCACATCGCCAGATTAACACCTTCTGTGTTAGATTAACACCTACAATGTCATATTAACACATACTGTGTCGTATTAACACTTACAGTGTCAGATTAACATTTACAGTGTCAGATTAACACCTACAGCGTCATATTAACACTTAAAGTGTCAGATTAACACCTAGTGTTGGATGAACACCTACAGTGTTATATAAACACCTACAGTGTCAGATTAACACCTACAGTGTTACATAAACACCTACAATGTTAGATGAGCACTTACAGTGTTAGATTAACACTAAAATTTAGGGATTATAGCCATCAGTGCTGTGTTTGGATCCAACTCTGTAAAAGCGATTCAGTGTTTTAATTTTCAGGTAAACTAGTTGCCCTAAAATTTTGAGTTCTAATAGTTCTAATAATTTACTAATAGTAAATTAGTAAATTAACAGAAACATAATCTGTGCTTTATATCATGTTAATTTAATATTTGAGGCAGTCAGATTATTACTTTTTCCTTCAAGTTAAAACATTGAATCTTTTTACAGTGAGCTGGACCCAATTAAACTTAATCCCATTTCTCAATTGAACTTAATCCCTTAACTATGGATTAAATCTGGACTAAACTGCAATGCCAACATTGGAAATCCAATTTTTTAAGCCTTAATCTGGCTCTGGGGACGCTCCATAAGAGTTAATCCAGCACTATTTTGCTGTGCGCGAGCCAGTCCTTTTACAGTTATGTACACGGCGTCTCGCGATGCCCCTCAGATTATTTACAGCGGGTCCTATTTACAGCAAATAAGCATAAAGCAGTTTTACCTCGCGGCCACTGTGACGCAATCCTCGTTTACAAAGGAGTTCGGCGAGAGGAGGAGAAAAAAAAAAACAAACGAACGAACGAAAGAACAAACAAACAAACAACAAAGTAAACAAGTCGACACATCATGCACGTGTTCACTTCTTTCCTTGTCCTGCAGGTCACTTGAGGGCCTCTTTGCTCTCGGCGGCCAGCCGGGACAGTCCGGTGGAGGTGATGGCGAGGTGAGGAGGAGCAGGAGGAGGCGCGCTATGAGGAGGCGGCGTCTGGCAGATGGTGCACGGGCACGGCAGGCCCGCCCAGTGCTGGAAGGCGCCGTGGAGCGCGGTGGGAGCCGCAGGAGCGGACGGGTGATGGTGGTGAGGAGGAGGCGGCGGCGGGGGAGGCGGAGGAGGAGGAGGCGCGCTCTTCATCAGCGAGTGCGCCGCGCGGATGGACGACAGCCCGAGCGCCGTGGCGGCCGAGGCGGGTGGAGGGGGCGCGAGCGCGCTTGCGGCGGCGGCCAGCAGCGGGTGTGCGCCGGCGCAGTGGAAGGGCCCGTGCGCGCCCCCGCCGCCGCCTCCGCCGCCGTAGAGCTCGGCCACGAGGCGCTTCATCTCGTCGAGGGAGCTGCTCAGCATGAGGATGTAGTTGCGCGCGAGCAGCAGCGTGGCGATCTTGGAGAGCTTGCGCACGGAGGGCCCGTGCGCGTACGGCATGACCTCGCGCAGGCCGTCCATGGCCAGGTTCAGGTCGTGCATACGCTTGCGCTCGCGCCCGTTGATCTTCAGGCGCAGCTGCTGGACCTCCTCCTCGCTCGCCTGCTTCTTCAGCCGGTACTTGGCTGCACTCGCGGCCGAGCCCGGGGTCAAGGGAGCGCGCGCCTGGTGCTGGTGGTGATGGTGCGTGTGCTGCTGGTGCTGGTGATGCTCGGCCGTTGTCGTGCACGCGCCCTGCGTGGAGGAGACCGGAGGCGCGCGGGAGTCGCGGGCGCGCGCGTACGCTGCGTCCATGTCGGGCGACGAGGCTCTGCTCGAGTCCGAGCTCATTTTTATCGGAGGAGGAGGAGGAGGCTCGCGGCTGGAGCTCTGTTTGAAAAAAAAGACAACGCTCTCGCGCTCGGTCACCTGATTTTGTCTTTCTGTTTTTTTCTCTCTCTCTACACAGTTCTCTCTCTTCTCTTCTCTTTCTCACTTTTCTCCCTCGTTCACTCTCGCGCTCCTCCTGACTCTCTCTCTGTCCTCGCGCTGCTCATGGCTCCGTGTAGTGAAGCTGCAGCAGCGGCGCGCTGTATTTATAGCGCGCGCTGGCCCACTGACCGGAGGAGCGGCTTTTCATATTCATTGGGATGCCCCCGTGGAGGAGGTGGGGGGTGGGGTGGGGGGGCTGGGGGGGCTTCACACCACTGAAACCAAGACAACTTCTTCAAACTCCGTAAACAGACTTTTAGGAGGGACAGCTTAGTGCAGCAGCACCATACGGTCACGCGCGTTTTCCCCTCTATCTGTCTGTCTGTCTATCTATCTATCTATCTATCTGTCTGTCTGTCTGTCTGTCTCTATCTATCTATCTATCTATCTATCTATCTATCTATCTATCTATCTGTCTATCTATCTATCTATCTATCCATCTATCTGTCTATCTGTCTGTCTATCTGTCTGTCTGACTGTCTATTTATCTATCTATTTATCTATATATATATAAGCTAAATGTTTGAGTTATTTATAAACACACAAAAAAGATGGTTCTTCAACGGTTCTTTAGTAAAGGCAAGGGTTCTATAATGGTTCTGCATGAAGGCTCGAAGAACCATTTGCATGCTTGAATAGTCCTTGCGTGGTGAACTCGTTCTTCAGACGGAAGGAGAAGGTGTTGTGTATGGTTCTGTATAAAACTTCTATATAAAACATTTTTGACAATGGTTCTATATAGAACCAAAAAGTGTTCTGCTGTTAGCACGATGTCAAGACTGCACACAATAGAAGAGCACTTTTTGGAGGTATATAGAACCATTTTCGAAAAACAACACATTCTCCATCAATCTGAAGAACCATTTCACCATGCAAATAGTTCCATATGGGACCACTGTCTTTACTGAAGAACGCTTGAGGAACCGTCTTTTTAGAAGTGTTTTTAGTGGTTACACGTTCTATCTGTGTTTATTTAGTTAGTTGCTTTTGAGCTGGTTGAGTTGTTTACATAGTTACTTTGTTTAGTTCGTTTATTTACTTCATTGTGGCTTGATTGGGTCATTCATTTCTTGCTCATTCATCCACTCATTTGTTGACATTCTGCATGGAAATAAAAACAATGGTAAGATTTTTTTATAATTTAGAATTTTAATTATTATTTAATGATTATTTTTCTTTCTTTATTTCTCCGTGTATCTTATTGGTTTGTCAGTTTAATGGTGAATGTGTGTTTTCTTGTGTGAAAACTGCACTAAAATTACTGCAGCAATTCTCTGAATTACATATTTACATATTAATGTGTTTTGGTCCGTTATTAACTGTGTATAAAACTGCAGTTAGATTTAACGTTTTTAATGCATTTTTAGAACGTTTCATCTCCAGTAATGAGATATGATGACTGATATTTCAGACAATCTAGTACTGAAACCTCTTTTCTGCTGTATTCACTGCAGAAATTCGCAGCTCTGTGTTATCGCGGTTCTCAGCACTGCTGACGGGTCGCGTTTTGGATCTTTTCATACTGTCTTCTTCTTCTTCTTCTTCTTGTCTGTGAGCTCGCAGGTTGGGTGTCTGAGGGTTTGTGAGAATCTGAATCTCGTTGATTTGAGTCTGATTTTTTTCTTCAGCAGTCTGATCTGATCTGCTGGTCTCTCTCTCTCTTCTTTAAATCTCAGCGTTTACATCTGTATCTCAGTTCTTTCTCCTCACTGAGGCTGAGCGGCGTTATTTTTTTCCCACCGCTATTCAGACAAGCCCCGCCCGTTGCACTGTGATTGGCTAGTTGTTCACATTCTCACGCGCTCCGCCGCAAAGCCCAGAGTTCACACAGCGCGCGGTGGGCGGGGCTTCCCGGATTACAGGTGGGAAAAACACAGCGTAGTGAGAGGCCCGTTTACACGGAGAGAATGATCTGATTATCCCTGAGTGAAGAGCTGAGGAGCTCTGACTACCACGAGAACACAATATCAGCCCTCAAATACTTTTATATTATTATTATTATTATTATTATTACTGTTATTATTAGTGTTAGTAGCTGGGTAGCGGTAGCACTATTACCTTACTTATGCAAGAAAAAATTAATATTAATATTTTTAATCGAACAGCGTGGACCAATGTGGAAAAAAAACCCATTTACAGTCATGTGCAAAAGTTTTGGCACCCCTGTTCAAATGACGTTATTGTTAAAAATAAGTTGGCACATCTTCTGCGCATTTCACTGCACACTGGCTGTTTATTTGCTGAATTTAACATATTGGGGGAAAAATGAAACATAAACTGTGGCCTTTATATTTTGTGCTTTATTTTGTCATTATAATAAAGTCAGTAAATAAATAGAAACTGTGCACAAAAGTGCCATATTGAAGTTTGTTCCCTGCAGAGGATGTGTTAACTTGTTGTCTTAAGCTCAATTAGAATATATACGTATATATACAAACAGCTGTTTGACTTCATGTGTTGACCTCATAGGGTTCGGACTGTGAGAAAATGTTGGTTCTCTGTCTGAAAAAAATAATCACTATTTTTATATTTATCATCTTGATCTAAACTGGTTTGACCCCTTTAAATCCCAGGCTTGTTACATACTCAGGCTTCTTATTCAGTAACTACAGGGACTTCAGTGTAAACTGGTTGAGCTATTCTTGTGTTATAGAAGTGTGTAATAAAACTTTGGGCCTGCTGGTGGGACCTGACCATTTAAAAGGTTGAAGTTAAAGCTTTGGCTGTCAAAGTGTTTTACGTTGTTAATTCAACATTTGTGGAAAGGATATGAAGAGGGAGCAGCAGAGTTTTGCACTTGTGTAGTCAGAACTAGAGATCTGACTCTCCATTTTTATGTTCGATCTGTTATTTTAAGCTTCCTGCACACGATCTTTAGAAGACTTAAAGCACTCAACAAGTGACTTTACTAAAAGAAACAATGTGCTTACAACAATTAGCATCATATTGAAATGAGTAGTTGCTTAGATTCAGTTTGGCTGCAAAATGATAACAATCGTTCATACATATTGATATATGAGGCCCAACTAAATAAAAAATACACTTACAGTACTGTGCAAAAGTTACAGACCACTGGTTCATTTTCACTCAGAACAGCCATTATTCATTTTTCAGTAGTTGTTTCTGAGGAGATTAGATATGAGATAATCCACCCGAGAAAGTCAGAGAATAAAAAGAGTTTTCAAAACTGGAGTTCAAAAACTGATTAAAACTACTGAGAAAATGTGGCTCCTAACAACCACCTGGAAGACCTGGTCAACCTCAAAACTGCCCCCCATCAGATAAACAGCACTTAAAGCTTTCATCTCTGAGAGAGAGGAGAAAATCAAGCTGCTTCAGATCTGAAAACATCCACAGGTGTTTCTGTCCATCCTTCCACTGTGAGAAGACGACTCAGCGCTGTGGGTCTGAAAGGATGTATAGCTGTCAAGAAGAACCTCACTGAGAAAAGGAGACGGACACATCAAACAAAGAAGCTGAACAATGGACTGCCCACCCCAGAGTCCAGACCTCAACATCACTGAATGTGTTTGATTACTTCAGAAAATGATCAACCAGCTTCTAAGACTGAACTTTGGAGGTGTGTCTGCAGATTCTTTGAGAAACTGAAAGTGAGTCTCCTGAATGGAATGGAAGCTGGAATAAAGATAAAGAGTGACTCACTAAACACTGAAAAATGATTTTGTATTTAGTTGTTGAAGGTTGCATGTAGTATAGTTGTGGTCTGTATATTATTAGAAGTATAAAGGTCAGTACTCCTCATTACTGCACTCAATTTTGCATAGATATATTTTTTACAAGAGATTCTTGCATGTAAAGATGACCAGGAAGCAGGATGAACACAGTCTTTTGGTGAGGTAGCTGTGGATCCTCCATCCAACACCACGGACACAAACACATACAAAGCCCCCTCATCTCATACTCTTCTTGGTGTTCCACAGCAATAAAATCCCCACCAAAAAAAGAAAAATAAAAGAAAAGAAAAGTGAAAATGTGTATTCAGAGTGCCATTGTAGGAGCAGAAAAGGAACCGTTCCTCATAAAGGTGCTGCAATGCAAAGAAAAGCCCTGCACTCCTTTGCTCTCTCTTGGTGGCATTTGAAAGTGTAAAGCTTTGAATACCAATTGCTTGAACTGGACATATGTGAATCCCCTTTAAGCCTACTAATCCTGTCCCCAAGTGTTTCTTTGTCTGTGGGGGCGACCGCATAGATCTAAGTGAAAGTGTTCCTAATCCGGCCAATGTGGAAAAATGTCTCAGTGTGTGAGGAGAGCAGAGGGGAGAAGGGAGGGAGGAAAGTGGAGGGAGGGGGTGGGTTTGGTTGAGGTGGCCATTACAGAAGGATTGCAGATTGGCAGGGGTGTCATCTACTCACTGCTGCTCGGAGAAGGAAACCTAAACAGCAGGAAGACCCCCTTCAAACGCACACAAACTCCCACCCTCCTGCAGTCTGTTGGGCCCACACAGCTTTCCCTGAAGGCACCGGGGGCAGCGGCCCAAACGTCCCGACTTTTTTTCAAGCGTCCCCCTTAGTCAGCAGTATCCAGGCCCAGCAGGTAGCTTCTAATGTGGCCGGCCTGTTGTAAAGCCCTGAGCTTTCTCATTATCCCTGCGCTCCACACTCCAGCTCTTCCCCACGCTCCCAGCGCGGCCAAAACAGACGTTTAGCTCCAATCCATGCGGTGGGTCCGCTTACGACTGACTGGGGTTACACCATATGATCTTTTCAGAGAGAGAGAGAGAGAGAGTGAGGAAGAGAGACATGTAACCCATGAAGTTACACAGAACACAGTGGAGGTACATAAATATCCTTGGAAACGAACATCTTGCTCACAGTGAGGGGAAACTTATAATATAG